GCGAGGAGACGAGGAAGAAGTTGAGGTCGAGCACCAGCAGCAGCAGGTCGAGCGCCAGGCGCAGCGCGCGGAGCAGCGCGAACAGCGCGTCCATGGCGCGCGTCCCCCCCCCCCCGCCTCGCGGGGCCCGCCCGGCGGAGCCGCCTCAGCCGCGGCGACCCCCCGCCCTGGGCGCCGCCATCTTGGCGCGGCGTTCCGTGCAGCGCCGGGCCAATGGCAGGCGAGGGGCCCGCCCACGCCCCGCGCTCATTGGGCAGTTCGGAGGACGCGGCCACGCCCACTGTCGCTCATTTAAAGGGCCAGCGCCGCGCTCACACAGCCGCGCAACTTTTAAAAACTTGAAATGAAGTGACTTTTTATTTTATATTACCTTATAAAAATCACGTTACAATATAAAAAATGTATTGCGTTACATTTAGAATATATATAATTTTAAAAACATGAAGTGTTTTTAATATTAAATTATTTCATAAAAATTACATTGCACTGTATTTAGAATATATGTGGTTCTTAAAACACGAAGTATTTTTAATAATAAGTTTTATTATAACATTTATATTGCATTATATTTAGAATACATTTTTTAAAAAACCTGAAATTAAGTATTTTTAATATTATATTACAATTTGAAAGTTGCGTTACAATATAAAAATTATATTATAGTATAAAAATTATATGACATTATATTTAGAATACATATAATTTTTAAAACTTGAAATGAAGTATTTTTAATATTAGAAAATAAAAATAATATTATATGGCATTATATCTATAATATATATAATTTTTTAAACCCTGAAACGGAATATTTTTTAATATTATGTCACAATATAAAAGGTACATTACAATATAAAAACTATATTACAATACATCCTATTTATAATATATATAATTTTTTAAACCCTGAAATGGAGTATTTTTTTATTATATCACAATGTAAAAGTTACATTACAATATGAAAATTATATTACATTACATATCGTATACGCTGTGTAGAACATAAATATAATACAATATATAATATTATATTCAAAATATGATGTCATATTATATTACCGATATGAATTATATTACTGATATGAATTATATTACTGATATGAATTATATTACTTAATGTTAATTATTTTATTTTACTCCGAGGCTTTTATGTTATAGCAATATATAATATTAATATAAACATAATATTAATATTATAATATTTCGGTAATTCCCGGTCCCTGCGTGGATCTGCCTGAGCACTGTGATCAGAGGAGCAGCCCGTGGGCAGGGCCACCTTCCTCTGGCGCGGGTTCTCGGAGCTCCAGCCAGCCCGGCCTTGGCTCGGCGCAGCTCGGAGCTGTTCTCCCAATGTTTCCTGCGGGACATCAGAGGATAAAGCCCCGGCCGTGACTCACAATCAAGGTTGCAGCCCCGGAGCGGGTCCAGCCCTCCCTGCGGGCTCCCGGCCAGGCCGTGGGGCCGCCGAGCTGCCCCAGGGGATGGTCCGGCCCTGCCGGTGATGACAAGCTCGGGAAAACCCAGCCCTGGAGCCCGAGGCTTTTTAAGGAATGGCAGAGCGAGCGCGGCGGATGATGAGCCACACGTGCCCCAGCGCGGGGGCAGCGAGGGAAGCCTCACACCCCGGGGAACAGCAGCGGGGCTGGGGACAATCCCTGCAGCTGCTCCCCTCCGCCTTCCCCCCGAACGCCCCGAGCCGGGGCAGGGGGCACATCCTGACCCGGGCTGCGTGCGCTGGTGCCGCTCGGTGCCACCCGCTCTCTCCTCCAGCCGTGTCTGTCCGTCCCCGCCCGGGCTCTGTCCCGCTGTCCCTCCGTCCCCTCCCTGCCCGCCTGGCGCTGGCCGTGGCTCCGCGGCAGCGGGTCCCTGCATCCCCACGTGACGGACCGGGATGCTTTCGGCATTTATGGACATGTTTGCATTTCTCATCGCCTCACCAAGCGGGACAAGGGCAAAGGGAGCCGAGCCGAGGGCCGAGCCTGCTCCACTCCTTCCCTGCCGCCGGTCGGCACCTGCCTCCCCCTCCATCCCCCCGACCGTGCCCGGGCTACCCCGGTGGGCTCCTGCTGCGGGGGCTGCAGCCTTCACATGTCCTGGCTCCGCGCCGGGGCTTCTCCATCACTGCTGGAGAAGGAGGGGAGCTGTGCCTGCTTCCCATCGCGGTAGGATTGTCCAGCTCCGCAGCGCCCAGTCCTGCCGGAGAGGGGCACAGGGCTCGGGCAGCCCCGCGCGGGGCCAGGAGGGGGCTCAGGATGGAACAGCGGTTTGGTTGGAGCAGAGGAGAGCGGGGCTTTGGGTGCAGGGATGGAAAGCCCTTCCCGGGTTTCTGCGGGGGGACAAAGGTCCCTGCCCTGGCGCTGTCCTGAGGCAGGAAGGGAGTTTCTGGAGTGCGGGTCCTGCTGGCATCACTCCAGCGCTCCCAGCATTCCCACAGCTGGCTCAGCAGCTGGCACCAGCCCCAGGGTACCCTCCCCTGCGGACCCCCCGGCCCTGTGGCAGCCCTGGCACCCGAGATAAGTCCTCCTGGGCACTGCCAGCAGCCATACCTCGAGTGCCCTCCAGACGGCCCTGCCCAGGGCTGGGCAGGTCCCTGGGCACGGGGGCGGGCGCTGCAGCCCTGAGCTCCCGGCCCAGGCTGGAACAATGGCTCATTTCGGTGCATCCGCTCCGGAAAATCCCCCGTCCCCACTCGGGCTCGGCTCCAGGATGATGTGGCTCGCTCTTCCTCTGCCCTTCCCTTAGCCTTGGAGGTGCAGGGCATGGTGTCCCCCAAGCCACGTATCCCTGCTGGCAGGGAATCTGCTCCCAGCCTGCTGGCGACAGACTGCAGGAAGGACTGGGAGCTGCAGGGAGCCCATCCCGGTGTCCCCAGCAGCCAAAGGCGCCTTCCCTGCCTTTGCTCCCCCTGCAGACCTGTGGAAGAGCAGGAGCACAAGGGCCCACCCTGTTTCTGGAGGGCTGTGTGTCTCCCCACGGTGGGAGCTGGGATATCTCTCTCCTCCTGGAGCCCGGCCAGACGGCCCTGGGAAAAGCAAGTCCTCAGCCCTGGGAAAGTCCTGCAAGGAGAAATTCCTGCTCAGCCAGGCCAGCCCCACAGTCCCCCTGGGCCCTGGTGCTCCAGCGTGTCCCCAGTGCTGTGGGGCCAGTGGTGTGGGGAGGTGGGATGGCAACTGTGCCCTGCTCGCTGCCTTCCCCCTTGTCTGCCTTTGCCTTTACTTCCCTCTCCATGGGAAGCCTTCCCAAAGCCTCCAAAGGGATACCCTGTGACACGGGCTCCCCCAGAGCTGGGGCTGGCCCAAAGTTGCCTCTCCTTAGGCTTTCTCACAGTTGATCCTAATGAGCCACCCTGGGGGAGCCCCAAGCCCTGCAGGCAGAGCAGGCAGGAAGACATCCCTGCCTGGAGCCCACAGGCAGCACAGGGAGCCCACGCCAGGGTTTCCATGTGGGTGCTGGAGCAGCTGCCCCTCCCGGGGGGTGTCCCAGGGCAGGACCCCATGGCCGGGCACAGGATCTACCCCTTTGTGTGGGCGAGTGCCCGGCTGTGGCCCGTGTGGCACTGGCATAATGGAGCCTTTTTCTGGCTGGTGCTGGGGGGAAATGGACTTGGAAATGTTCCAAAGGAAAAGGCGGCTTTATACACAGCCATCCCCAGGCTCCCAGCTTCTCACTCAGTGCCCACCTCACCCACCCCCAAAGCCTGCCCCCCGTGCCAGGGCAGCAGTGCAGCAGGGCTGGGAGGGGAGCCGGGAACACATCTGTGCCCAGCCCAGCTGACAGTGTGTGAGCGAGGGGTCAGCACGTGGCTGTTCACAGCCTGTCCCAGGCCAGCACCTGCTCCGGGATGTGGGGCTCCTGCACCCCCAGGATGTGGAGTGACGCTGGGCAGAGGGTTCCCTCTCCCTGTGCCTGGGCTCTCAGCTGGCTGAGGTTCTCCCAGGAGCTCTCACTGCCCCAGCTGTCCTTGTCCATCCACCCCGCACGCAGCGAGGGTCGTGCCCAGGGTGTGAGGGGAGGGCTGCACGGCGTGGGGCTGGCTGACCCTTGCCAGCTTGGCTCCTTTTTGGGGCTTTGCCACTGCTCTGCACCCCCTGACCCCCCCGGCCATCCCCGTGCAGCTGCTCCAGGAGATTGTGCTCGTCAGCACAGAAATCCAGATGTCACCTTCCTCCCCCCTCCCGCTCCCTTCCTTCCTCCACCCTCCTCACGGCTCCTCGTGGCTCCCGCTCCTGGCCCCTCCTGAACAAAGGCCCTGTAGCCATGGTTAATAATCCCCACAGAAAGGCCCTGCAGAAGAGGAGAGGAAGGAGAGGGGAGACACAAAGGAGCCTCTGGCAGCCCAGCTGAGGAAGGGGGTTGGAAGGAGGCGTTTTCCTGAGCTGAAGGACAGGAGTGTCGAGGAGGGCTTTCAAAGGTGAACAGAGACGGGCTGGAGGAACCCCAAGGTGCCCTCATGGCATGTAGAATACCCCATTCTTTGTTGTCTTCCACCCAGGGAACAGGCAGCCAGAGGCTGGACAGCCCAGGCAGGTTCCTGTACTTACCCCAGAGCCCTCAAGCACCCCAAAATGCAGCACCAGGGCCTGGCATGAAGGTGCCCAAGGGCAGTGATCCTCAGCACTGCTGTGGCCCAGCGGCAGGGAAGTAGCCGGCCGCTCCCGGGGCGGTGTGGGAAAGCACAGTGCTGGCCCACATCCCGTCCCTTCCCTGGGGAGCGGGGCCCCTCTCAGCCCTGCCGGTGTTGTGTGAAGAGGTGCAGGCCTGGGCGGATGCAGCCGAGGCTTCCGCCCTGCAGGGCTGCCCTCCATCCCCCCTGGAAGCGCACGGGGAGCCGGGACAGCCGGAGTTCCACCGGCACCGCCACCGGCACCGGCTGCAGGGAGCCGGCACAGAGCACCCCAGGCAACCCCACAGAGCCCTCCAGACCCCCCCGAGCTGCTCTGGGCCCCACGGGCTCGGCTGGGGAGTGCAGGGGTTGGGGAAGGCATGGGGCCCCCTGTCCCCACCTGAGACACATGTCGGGACACGCACAGCGAGAGCACAGCCCAGCTCCCTCTGGCAGCATCCCTCGGTCCCCTATCAGCAGGGATCTCGCTGGAAAGGTGGAAGGG